AGGAAACTGTTCAAATAGAACTTACTTCTCACAGATGAAATAAGGAAGGGATCTGCATGGCTTGTTACTATGTAAGTGTAACAAACATAAACTACAAATCACCCGATGAATCTTATGATCCTTGTTTTTTTTTTAAAATTATAAGCTGTATAAGGTACTTGCGTCTTAAAGAAATACCTTATACAGCTTATAATTTTAAAAAAAGAAACAAGGATCATAACATTTATCGGTTAATACACCTTTAAGATTTTGTTAGCGAAGGGATTTCGGCATTTTATATCATTAACTTTCCTAATCTTTTTGTATGAATGATTCATCGTAATATAAATTGAACTGCACCACATATTTGATATATATATATATATATATATATATATATATATATATATATATATATTAAGAAATGGACAAAGTCCGACAATTTATTTATTAAAGACATTTTTATGTTTAACGTTCTTTTTTATAGATACAAGTATTTAAGTAAATGCCGGTAAATGTTATTTAATACTGTTTATTATAAACAGAGCATCTACTTAAAAACTTGTATCTATAAAAAGAACGTTAAACATAAAAATGTCTTTAATATATATATATATATATATATATATATATATATATATATATATATGTTTGTATGTGTGTCTGTGTGTGTGTGTAGAAATATAGATAGATTTTCAGTGGAAGCCATTTCCCAAAATAGAAGTAACATAGTCGGACTGAGAAATTTTCCGGCTCTTCTCGCATACAGACTGATAGATAGAGAAAGAGAGGAAAGATAGATAGATAGATAGATAGATAGATAGAGAGAGAGAGAGAGAGAGAGAGAGAGAGAGAATTTTATCGTCACTGGATGCATTGCTCTTATGGCCTTGTGCCAGGCTATGCTAATCAATATCAGGTTATCAAGTGGAAAGATGATGGTTAACAAGTGTGTCTCGCGAGATCTCACGCGATCTCAGTACGTCGATCTAGTGAAAGTTGGAGAGGTAGCAGAAATGAGAATATAGAATGAAAAAGAATGAGAGAGGGGGAGAGTGAGAGAAAAAAAAGAGAGCATGTCTGAAGATAGAGAGAGAAAAAGGGCGTGTAAGAAAGGGGGATCGAGAATGAATATAGAAAGAAACGGGAAGAGAAAAGCGAAACGGAAAAAAAGGGAGAGATAGATAAGAAAGAGATCGGAACAGGATGTGTGTAGACGTCCATATCCCGAGGAATTTGTTGAATAAAATGATCGTGGGTTTCTTTTCTTTCATCGCAACAGCTATGAACTTAACATACAGAAGATTAATTTCGATGTTTGCTCCATGAATATGTATATTCATCACATTCCTTACGTATACCTTACGATATCTTAAGTATAAAAAGTTAGATCTAGATAGATAGATAGATAGATAGATAGAGAGAGAGAGAGAGAGAGAGAGAGAGATAGGTAGATATAAACAGACTGCGAAAGATAGATAGATAGATAGATAGAAACGGACTGCGAAAGACAGATATATAGATATGAACAGACTACGAAAGAGATAGATATATAGATATATAAACAGATTGCGAAAGAGATAGATAGAGAGATATAAACAGATTGCGAAAGATAGATAGATTGATAGATAGATATGAACAGACTGCGAAAGAGATAGATAGACAGGTAGAAACAGAGTGCGAAAGATAGATATATAGATATGAACAGACTGCGAAAGAGATAGATAGATAGATAGATATAAACAGACTGTGAAAGAGATAGATAGAAAGATATAAACAGACTGCGAAAGATAGATTGATAGATAGATATGAACAGATTGCGAAAGAGATAGATAGATAGATAGATATAAACAGACTGTGAAAGAGATAGATAGAAAGATATAAACAGACTTCGAAAGATAGATGGATAGATAGATATGAACAGACTGTGAAAGAGATAGATAGATAGATAGATAGATAGATATAAACAGACTTCGAAAGATATATAGATAGATAGATATGAACAGACTGTGAAAGAGATAGATAGATAAATAGATAGATAGATAGATAGACAGATAGAAACAGACTTCGAAAGATATATAGATAGATAGATATGAACAGACTGTGAAAGAGATAGATAGATAAATAGATAGATAGATAGATAGACAGATAGAAACAGACTTCGAAAGATATATAGATAGATAGATATGAACAGACTGTGAAAGAGATAGATAGATAAATAGATAGATAGATAGAAACAGACTTCGAAAGATAAATAGATAGATAGATAGATAGAAACAGACTTCGAAAGATAGATAGATAGATAGATAGATAGAAACAGACTTCGAAAGATAGATAGATAGATAGATAGATAGATAGATAGATAGATAGATAGATAGATAGATAGATATGAACAGACTGCGAAAGAGATAGATAGATAGATAGATAGATAGATAGATAGATAGAAACAGACTTCGAAAGATATATAGATAGATAGATATGAACAGACTGCGAAAGAGATAGATAGATAGATATGAACAGACTGCGAAAGAGATAGATAGATATGAAGAGAAGGATATAGATAGATAGTTTTTTCAATAGAGGCGTACGCGCATGTAATAACATGTATATACACACGTATATATAAACACTGATTTAGATAAACTGACATAGATGTGAGCAGACTGTGATAAATTATTAATAGATATGAACGGACTCAGATTGAACAGACAGATAGATAGACGGACAGGTAGACAGACAGACTGACAGTTTTGTATCAGGGCACACACGCGCGTAAGAACACAAACATACATGCATATGCACACATATATAGACTGTGATTCTACATAAACAGACATGAACATATTAATATGTAAACAGATTGAGATAGATAATTGGATAGATATCAACTGTGATAGATACATATCAACAGTCTGAGATAGAAAAACAGGTGGTTGCAGATAAATAATGTATTGAACAGTAAATACTACAGAAGTTTGTTACACGACTTGGGAGTGTGTGTCGGTTGACCAGCGTTCAGTCTATATCACCGTTATATTTAACAGCGCCCCCCATCGAGGGATATATGTGGCACAAGGCCGAGTTTAACGTGGGTCATCCGAGCCCATAGGATCGGCCAAAAATATTTTCTTCGAACTCGTATAAACAGGTTCATGGACTGTCTACCTCACCGGACGAAACTTTGCCCTTCGGTAAAAGCTTCGTCCGGGTTCCTCTCCACCTCGGTGGAGAGTTTGACAGCTGTTGTGGAGTATTTTCACAGTGGAGGCTAGTATTTCTAATAAGTCGTCCTAAATTAGGTCCGACGTACAAAACGTTAGGAACTTGGAAAAAAAGAGTCAATGGCGCAGCAATCTAGTTGTGATGGTTGGTACTTCAAATGTCCGAATCTCGACTGACGCGCTCAACACCATTCGGTATTTATCGTTTCATCCACGGGAAACGAATATAGCACAAGGCCGGTTTTATTGTGGGTTTCTCCGAGCCCGTAGGCTCAACCAAAAAGATAGCCTTTTGAAGCCGATTAGACGGGTTCAGGCCCTGTCTACCTCCCCCGGACGAAACCTTGCCCTTCCGGCAAAACCTCGTCCGGGTTCCTTCTGCGCAGCAGAGAGTTCGACAGAAGGCGTGCGCAGTCAGAGTTCACCATTCAGTATTTATCGTTCCACCCACGAGGACAATATGGCACAAGAGGTTTTAATGTGGGTATCCCGAGCCCGTAGGCCCGGCAAAATGGCGAACCCGCCTGACGGGTTCAGGCCCTCAGACGAAACCTTGACCGTCTTCCTCTGCGTTAGCAGAGTTCGACAGAAGGCGTGCGCAGTCAGAGACCGCTTTATTCAGTTTTATCGTTCCACCCACGAGGACCGAATATGGCACAAGGCCGGTTTTAATGTGGGTATCCCCGAGCCCGTAGGCCCGGCCAAAAATATAGCCTTTGAACCCGCCTAGACGGGTTCAGGCCCTGTCTACCACCCCGGACGAAACCTTGCCCTTCGGCAAAGCCTCGTCCGGGTTCCTCTCTGCGTTAGCAGAGAGTTCGACAGAAGGCGTGCGCAGTCAGAGACCGCGCAACACCATTCTGCCAGACTGGCCACTGCTACTCCTACTTATTATCTATGGGAGAGTCCATTACAATAGAATAGGTACTATGGCATAACAACAGCAGAACGGGCTGTGGCACCGTTATATTTAAGGCCCCCCCCATGTGGGTCGTATGTGGCACAAGGCCAAGTTTATCGTGGGTCAACCAAGCCCGTAGACTCGGCGAAAAATATTCCCTTCGAACCCGTATAAACGGGTTCAGGGTCTTTAAACCTCCCAGGATGAAAGCTTTCCCTTCGGGAAAGCCTCGTCCGGGTTCCTCTCTGTCGAGGCAGAGATGTCGACAGTAATGAACAGTGTGACACCGTTATATTTAACGCCCCCCAGGTGGGTCGTAGAATGGCACAAGGGCGGTTTATTGTGGGTTCTCAGAGCCCGCAGGCTCGGCCAAAAATATTCCCTTCGTACCCGCATAAATGGGTTTCAGGGCCTGTCTACCTGTCCGGACGAAACTTTGCCTTTCCGTAAAGCTTGGTCTGGGTTCCTCTCCGCCGAGGCGGAGGGTTTGACAGCAATGAACGGTTTGGACCACCGTTATATTTAACAGCCCATCCACCACGTGGGTTGTATGTAGCTCAAGGCCGGCTTAACATGGGTTCTCCGAGCTCGTAGGATCGGCCAAAAATATTCCATTTGAACCCGGATAAACGGGTTCAGGACCTGTCTACTCGGACGGAAAAAAACGCAAAAACACACAAACGCTAAATATAAAAAGCGAAAACAGATAAAAAAGAACGCATATAGCGGCGCAAACTTACAAATACACTCACATAAACACACACACAGACGCACACACACGAGCACAGGCGGGTACGTTTACGTGTGCATATTTGTATGTATGTATGTATGCATGTACATGCACAAGCACACATATAAGCATACAGTTGTGGATAACTATGTGCATACATGTTTGTATG